GGAAGAGGCCCGTTGGAAGACAACCGTTTGAACATCCGGACTTTGCCAGAACGCTATTCCTGGGACTTCCGTGCCGCGAATCACCGTTACGGTTGCGCTGTGACATGTCGACATCGTGCCCAAACAGCATGTCTGGACGTCAAATATTTGAAACTGTTACAAACTCTTAAGACGAATGTGCGCGGCGCTACGGCGAGAGCCACAGTTTGAAATGGAGCCACCCTCCATCCGTGAAGCTCTTGCGAACTTTAAGGACGAATGTGCTCGGCGCTAAGGCGAGAGCCACACATTGAAAACGACCCGCCCTCCTGCCGCGAAAATGTTTCAAAAGTCTCAGCTTCAGGAAAACAAATGGTGAGGAAGTCTCTGGCGAAACGCCTGGCCCGCCCTTTCGACTGGCCTCGGGGTAAGACAGAGAGGAGTTGTTCACGTGTAAGGACGAGAATTGAGGATGAGGAGGAGGGGGGAGGTGGAGAATAAAGAAGGAGGTTGAGGAGCGGAGGAGGAGGAGGAGAAAGAGGAGGAGGAGGAGGAGGAGGAGGAGAAGCGAGTCGCGGCAGTGTGATATAGGAGGAGAAGAGGTGGAGAGGGAGGGAGACGACGACGACGACGACGAGATGTTGACGAAGAGGAGGGGCAGGTAAGCGATTCCCGAGGGAGGGGCGGAAGCAGAATGAGATCCCGCCCCACCCCCACAACGTACACCCGAGGGAGGTGCCCGCAGCGGTAGAGGTAGGCCCACACAGTGCACGCGCCTTCAGCGCGCATCCGAGGCCAGCCTCAAGCCCTGGAGTGTGTATTCAGCCCACCCATCCCCAGGCGCATCGGCGCCGGCTCGGGCAGCATCGAGGGCGTATGCCTCGAGCCCGAGCTCTTCCGCCCTGGCGCGCGAACGAAATCCGAAGCCCACGAGACATCACTTATGGCCATTCGGGGGTACTTGCTGCCCCACCGCATCGGCTGGTCGACGGCCTCGCGGCGAACGTCAGGCACCCTCGTTGCCTGCATCGCCTCGGGCACAGAACTGGTCCCTCCGCTGCGCGCGCGATCCCGCTTTTGGCCCAGCCAACTCGCCCAAGCGGGCGCGCCACGCGTGATGGGGATGAACGCCACTCGCAGCTCTGCTAGAAGGAGGGAGGAGCAGGAGGACGAGGAGGGGGGTGTAGATTGCGTGCATTAATCTGGAGGGGAATGCGCAGCAGCAGCGCCATCAGCAACAACCGCCAGTAGGTCTAAGAACGGGAGCACCCAGAGCAGCACCACAAGTGTGAGGGGGAATTGTACCAAAGTTGCAAGCAGTCAACGCGCATTGGGCAATTATACAGAGGATCGGGCGCCGAGGCGACCTTCTCGTCGTCAGCACGCGCAACCGTCGAGGACACGGCGACCATCGCTGCTGGGGCAACCGCTGCAGAGCTGCGAAAGCAACGGAATGCGGAGCTTGCGGCCGCACTGGCGTTCAGGGCCTTGCACTTGAATTCGGCGGACGCCACCAGCCGCAGCTGTCGCGACTGTTGCAGCAGCAGCTGGCACGCCTCACGCGGCACCACAGCCATCTCCATTGCTCGGGGTGAGCGCTGTCGCCGGTTCGCGATTGGCGGCAGCGGATTGCTGTTCACTTGTGGCGGGCAGCTACGGTGCTCGTCTCCTGCGCTACCGCGCCAGCGTCCCGATAGCGACTCGTTGGTGCACGTGTTCGGGCCCAGGTGGCCGCATCGAAGTGTGTCCGCGCAGATGTGTCCAACCAGCCGCAGCCGCCAGTAGCTCTATGAGCGGGAGCACCCGGAGCGGCATCACAAGGTGGAGGGGAACGGTGCCAGCTGTGCAAGGAGGAGGAGGAGGAGGAGGAGGAGGAGGAGGAGGAGGAGGAGGAGGAGGAGGTGTCCCCTGCACGGCTGGCGTGCAGCTCGTGCTCGGAGCTGCGTACCCGCGCTGCGTGCCCGCGCTGCGTGGGAGCCTCTGCTGGCCGTGCGGCGTGGCAGGCAGCTCCCTCGCCCGACTCCAGAGGGGAGAAAACACAGAGACGCCATTGAATCGTCGATTCCCCAGAGACTGTGGAACAATAGGGGAATCGGAGGTCGATAGACCTCCTACCCTGGCACGTCGACTCAGGACTTGGCCGTTTTCGGTTCGCGAGAGGGCGTCGCGGCCGTCATTTTTGCCGGGTCCAGGTCCGTCGGTTTCGTCCCCGGGCCGCTTTCGCTAAGGGGAGGTTTATTAAAGGGAGGTTTGTCCACCGCCGAAGGAAGTGGGGGGAAGAGACAAAAGCCCAGAACATGTGTATGTCCCAGGGCCCCTTTACCGATGCTCGGCGGAGACACAACTTAATCGTCGATTCCCCAGAGACTGTGGTACAATAGGGGGGTCGGGGGTCGATAGACCTCCTACCCTGGCACGTCGACTAAGGACTTGGCCGTTTTCGGTTCGCGAGAGGGCGTCGCGGCCGTCATTTTTGCCGGGTCCAGGTCCGTCGGTTTCGTCCCCGGGCCGCTTTCGCTAAGGGGAGGTTTATTAAAGGGAGGTATGTCCACCGCCGAAGGAAGTGGGGGGAAGAGACAAAAGCCCAGAACGTGCGGGAAGCTATGGGGGAATCCGGTTATTCGTGTCTGTTTGTGTGTGTATGTGTGTGTCTGTGTGTGCGTGTGTGTATGTGTGTGTATGTGTGTGCGTGTGTGTGTCTGTGTGTCTGTGTGTCTGTGTTTGTGTGCGCGTATGTGTGTGTGTGTGTGTGTGTGTGTGTGTGTGTGTGTGTGTCTGTGTGTGCGTGCGTGTGTGTGCGCGCGTGCGTGCGTGCGTGCGTGCGTGCGTGCGTGCGTGCGTGCGTGCCAGGGCCCCATTCGCCGATGCTCGGCGGAAGTTCGTCACGAGCACGCCACGCTGCGCAGCAGCTGCGCAGCAGGCGCCACGCCACGCTGCACCAGTGTGTCCACCAGGGGTGCCCTGCAGCCCCCCGACCTCCTCTCGTCGCCTCCTCCTCCTCCTCCTCCTCCTCCTCTCCTCCTCCTCCTCCTCCTCCTCCCTCCTCCTCCTCCCCTCATCCTCCTCCTCTCCTCCTACTCCTCCTCTCGTCGTCGAAAGGTCACGACGGAGGGTTTCGTCGGTTCTCGGCCGCTCTGTGGTGATCAGTGGTCGCCCCTCCTCCTCCTCCTCCCTCCTCCTCCTCCTCCTCTCCCTCCTCCCTCCTCCTCCTCCTCCTCCTCCTCCTCCTCCTCCCTCCTCCTCCTCCTCCTCCTCCTCCTCCCCCCTCCATCAAAATAACAATTATTTAAACAAGTTTCGTCAATGGAGCCCTTGCGGGCCCCAGGGCCGTCCAGGCACGACTCGGCATGAACAGCCCGTCCCGGCGGAGGGGTTCAGCGGCAAGCGTCGCGACCTCGGAGCTCTCGGACGCTACGCAGTGGAAGCTTCGTGCATTGACCCGTGCACACTTCAAGCACGCCTACGGCTCTTGCCACACAGCTTCTTCGGGCCCGCATCCTTCCAGCGGGCGCTCGGCGCAGCTGGGCAGCACAGCTGACCTGGTTTCTGTGACGGAGACTCGGGGCTGGAGGGTGTGCTGCACACTCAGCGGCGTGCGCTAGTCTTCTCTGGGTATCCTCGTCCTCCTCCCGCCCCTCCCCCTCCTCCTCGCAAAGCATTGGCCAAACCTAACAAGTCGAATAATCTCCTGTTGGGGCTGCGTCCGCCCCTGGCTCCAATCTTGTGCCCCCTCCTCCCCGCTCCCCTGTGGTGTCAGGGGGTCGTTTGGTACATGATTGGACTTGGAGCCCGGGGGGAAGGGTTTGCAAGCTGTGCAAGACGAGGGCGCTTTCTGAGGCGAGGAAAGAAGCCAGGCTCAACGAGAAGTGCATTAGCAGTGCCCCTCTTAACACCCTCGCTGCTGACAGTCACGGCCACACGCTGATGGCGGCCGGTTTTGAGACAGGCGAGAGCTTCATCATTGCTTGTCAGACTTTGGAACTTATGCGGTCTCGAATCCACGTATTGTGTGCAGCTTTTGTCCCAGGCGTTTTTCGGAGGCCCAGAAGCGTGGATCCAAGTATACATGTAATTAGATTTGTCAAGGAAGGCACCCCAAGAAGCCCAGGGCGCAGCTTCGCCCCTTCATCCCCCTGGCCCAGCTCCTGGCAGATTTAGCCCAGGAGCAACGGGAGCAGGAGAGGGAGGAGGGTAGGTAGGGCTGGAGCGGGCAGCGTGCGCGGGAGGGGGAGAGACCCCCCTGCGCGCGGCCCGATCTCGCCGACCAGATCTTCCCGGCGCGCCCCGCGCCTCCGCGCCGACGCGCGTTTGCAGCCAAGATGGCAGAACCCCTTTTCAGGCTGCGTGCTGGCCCCCCTCCTCCTCGCTTCCATGCTCTTCTCCTCCCCTCCCCCTGCCCCTCCCTCTCCTCTTCCCCCTCCTCCGCCTCCTCCTTTTCCTGGATCTGGACTCCCGTCGTGCCCTCGTTTCCTCCTCCTCCTCCTCCTCCTCCTCCTCCTCCTGGTCCTGGTCCTCCTCCTCCTCCTCCTCCTCCTCCTCCTCCTCCTCCTCCTCTTGCCTTCCTCCTCCGCCCTCCCCTCCTCCGCCCTCTCCTCCTCGTGCTCCTCCGTCTCCTCCGCCGTCCTCCCCCGCCTCCGACGGCGATCTCGACGACGAGCGATCACCACGACGACACCTCGTCGTCATCGCTGTCTTCCTCCTCCTCCTCGACCTCCTCCTCCTCCTCCTCCTCCGACGACGACGACGACGACGACGACGATCACGGTGACGACGACAATCACGACGACGACGACGATCACGACGACGACCATGACGACGACGACGACGACGACGACGACGACGACGACGACGACGACGACGACGACGACGACGACGACGACGACGACGACGACGATCGCGACCGCGACCGCGACCGCGACCGCGACCGCGACGGTGGCGCGCCCCCAGGACGGCGCCAGGCTGGCGGAGGCGGCGGAGCAGCGCCTCGCGAAGCGGGAGAAGGCGCAGCAGGCGCAGCAGGCGCGCGCGGTATCGGGCGCTGTCGTTGCCGGTGTCGTGGCCGTCGCTGTCGGAGGAGGAGGAGGAGGAGGAGGAGGAGGAGGGTGGTCCGAAGCCGTTATTGGCTCAAGAGCTGGCCCAGCGGGCTGGCTCAGGCATCAGCCTGTGTCGGTCGAACATGGCCTGCATCATTATTTTGGCCCCGCCTCCGAGGGCATGGAACCGTTTTGTGTCGCGTGTCCAACGCTCCTGGGTCGTACCTCCAGGGGCTAAAGCAGGGCTCAAAGCTTGCGCGGCGGGCTGGATTGGTATCGAACCAGTTCTCCCGAACAATTCCAACGTTGACGTTGCATGCAATTTTTGTTCGGCACATCACCGCTCCTGGAAACCAGCAGTTTCTGGCCGAACTGGCAGACCAACTTGGCACAACTGCGGTCGAAAAGCGGGCAGGGCACAGCGATGACACCAAGAAAGAGCTCTCGTGGCCAAGAAGCCCAGGAGTTCGACCCCCAGTGCGTGCTCCCGCCGTTCCTCCCAGCTCTGCCGTGCAGCGGCGCGCGGCACCTCAAGCTGGACTGCGAGCGCGGCGGTGGCGGAGGCAGCAGTCGCACGCCCTTTGGAGGACCCCGCGCGAGACCGGACGAGCAACGCGTCCGCCGCGGCCACGACGCGGAGCCGCGGGCGCAGAAGAGCTGCGGCGACGAGGCCGCGGGGACGGCCGAGGCGCACCATGCGGAGCACGACGAGCAGGGCAGCGACCTGCGGCGCCGGCGGGGGCAGCGGGCACGACCGCACGGGGCTCCGTGCGAAGCCGGGCAGGCAGCCGGGGCTCCTCCGACGACGCGGCCGCAGGGGGCGGCCCTGGCTGCAGCACGCCGTCAGCACGACGGCCAGGGCCGCGAGCACGGCGCCGGCGGGGGCAGCAGGAGGAGGAGGAGGAGGAGGAGGAGGAGGAGGAGGAGGAGGAGGAAAAGGAGGAGGAGGGAGAGGGAGGAGGAGGAGGCGGAGGAGGAGGAGGAGGAGGAGAGGAGGAGGAGGAGGAGGAGGAGGAGGAGGAGGAGGAGGAGGGCGGAGGAGGAGGGGAGGAGGAGGAGGAGGAGGAGGAGGAGGAGGAGGAGGAGGAGGAGGAGGAGAGGAGGAGGAGGAGGAGGAGGAGGATGAGAGGAGGAGGAGGGAGAGGAGGGAGGGAGGAGGAGGAGGAGGAGGAGGAGGAGGAGGAGGAGGAGGGGGAGGAGGAGGAGGAGGGGAGGAGAGGAGGAGGAGGAGGAGGAGGAGGGGAGGAGGAGGAGGAGGAGGAGGAGGAGGAGGAGGAGGAGGAGGAGGAGGAGGAGGAGGAGGAGAGGCCCCGCGCGGAGCTGGGCGGGCAGCAGGGCCAACGACGGCCGCGGCGCGGAGCCCGCGGCGGAGGTGGCATGCGACGGCTCTGCCGCGGAGCCGGCCGGCCGAGGCGCACCGCGCGGAGCGCGGAGCGCGGCGGCCAGGGCGGCGAGCGCGGCCCGGGCGAGGGCGTTTAAAACAGGGCCAGGATCGGGATAAATCGCTCCAGAGCGTTCCGGAGCGCTCTCGGAGCGTGCCGGAACGCTCTGGAGCGGCCGCGGCGCCCAATACATCCTCCAAACCCGCCGATTCTGAGAGAGATTTCGAGTTGTCCCGATCCGATGTTGTCCCGATCTCCGCGTCGCTTTAGCGTTGTGTTGTGTTTGGGTTGTCTTGTTTTGTTCTGCAGGGCTGCCTCAACGGTGCCTCAAGCTGTGCTACGGCAGCTCACCTGCCGGCAGCGCTATATACGCTTGCCTGCACGCGTGAGGGCAAGATCCGTGTGGCGGCCTTTCCTTGCTGCGCGGCAAGCGTCCTCCTCCTCCTCCTCCTCCTCCTCCTCCTCCTCCTCCTCCTCCTCCTCCTCCTCCATCCTCCCCTCTACTCCTCCCCTCCCCTCTCCCTCCCCCATCCACTCCTTCCTTTTCCTCCTCCTCCTCCTCATCCTCCTCCTCCTCCTCCTCCTCCTCCTCCGTGTGGCGGCCTTTCCTTGCTGCGCGGCGAGCGTACAGTGCTGCCGGCAGGTGAGCTGCCGTAGCACAGCTTGAGGCACCGTTGAGGCAGCCCTGCAGAACAGAACAAGACAGCCAAGACACCAAACAACGCTAAAACGACGCGAAGATCGGGACAACATCGGATCGGGATAGCTCGAAATCTCTGAGAATCGGCGGGTTTGGAGGATGTATTGGGCGCCGCGGCCGCTCCAGAGCGTTCCGGAACGCTCCGAGAGCGCTCCGGAACGCTCTGGAGCGATTTATCCCGACCCTAGCCCTGTCTTATTGCTGCGCGGCTCGGCGGGGTCGGGCTCTCCGATTCTCCGGGCGGGCAGCAGCGGAGGAGCGATTCGCACGAGGTGATCCCAGCACGCCGTCCTCCGCGAGTCTGAAAGATGAGGAATGCACCCCAGTCGCTGCTTCAAAGCGGTCTGACACAATGGACGGACGGCCGATGCATCGGCATACAGACGAGCTGGGCACCGCATAAGTATGCTTTATTCTCTAGCGCATGTATCAGTGCTGTGCTGATGAGAAGGCGGGCAGGACACAAACTTCACCCGCACGGCATGTACTGGGCATTCTTCGCGCGCTCAAGCTTGGACTGCGCATCGCACGCAGACGTCTTGAAGAGCATGTTCTGTGCCATACCTCTCCACACCGTCGGCTCACCTATGATAAGCTCGCGCCAGATACTGCTGTGCACGAGAGAATCGGGCAGGCGAGCGAATGCGGGGACGCGCCTCCACGCGCGCTGAAGATCCCCCCGAATCTGCTCAACCCAATCCATGGCCTTCCCCTGGAAACGAGACTGCAGGACAGAGAGCAGCGGCCCCGGTGCGGACTGCGCCGGGTGGGCGAGGGGGGGGAGGCGCCTGCGGGGGAGGAGGAGGAGGCCGCCGAGGGAAAAACGTCCGAGCAACCCTCGAACCTGGAGGTCGTCATGTGGTGCCTCCTCCTCCTCCTCCTCCTCCTCCTCCTCCTCCTCCTCCTCCTCCTCCTCCTCCTCCTCCTCCTCCTCCTCCTCCTCCTCCTCCTCCTAGGTGGCTCCGCAGCGAGGCCCCGCGCGTGCCGTTTGCCCCGCGGCGGGCGCACGCGGGCGGGCCCGCGCCATCGGGGCCCCCAGCGCCGCCAGGCGGCGCGTCCAGCGAGGAGGAGGCGGCGGCGGCGGCGCCGCCAGGACGGCGACGCGCGAGCGCTCGCCCGCCTGGCACAGGCGAGAGCGCCGCGAGCGTGCCCAGGCTCGCCGAGACCTCAGGGCGAGGCTGCAGTTCCAGCTGCTGAGCCAGCACCACGGCAGCACGCCCCCGACGACGGCCAGCAGAATGGGACGCTCAGCCGACTACACCGTCTGCAAGTCCTGCGGACAGTGGTTGTGGAACTCGAAGCTGGAGGGCATGAACTACCGCTGCGGGACCTGCGACAAGATGCTGCCCAAGCCGAAGAGCCCCAAGGGCCACGCGGCGGAGGCGGCGACCAGAGGAGGCGGCGGCAGCAGCGGCAGCGCGGGAGGAGGCAAGGCCAGCGGCAAGGGCAAAGGGCCCGAGCAGCTGGCGCAGGCGCTGCAGCTCATCACCGCCTCCCTCGGCCAGCTGCAGATCGAGGGCAGCGAGACGATCACCAAGCAGATCCATGTGGCTACAACGGCACTGCAGTCGGCCAAGACGACGGCCCCGCAGAAGCCGAGAGCCGAGAGGATGGCAGCCGCAGCACGATCACTGCAGGCAGCGCAGCGGCAGTACTCGCAGGCGTTCGCGGCGAAGCAGAAAGCTGAGGAGGAGGCGCGCAAGGCGCGCGAGCTGCTGGAGGAGAGGGCCAGCGCAGTCCTGCAGGCCGAAGCGGAGTGCGATGCGATCCACCAGGAGGGAAAGCAGGCTCCCACGGCTGGCATCATCGAGCAGCTGGTGTCGGGACAGCTCGATGAGCTAACAGGTGGACAGCTGGCGGAGGACATCAGCAAGGAGTTCGCGCTGGACGACGACGACTTGGATGAAGAAGCCAGGAAGCAAGTCGAGGAGGCCAAGGCACAGGTCGTCAAGCAGATGCAAGACAATGCCAAGCAGTTCCAGGGCCACCTGCGCGAGCACCTGGCGAAAGCCAAAGCAGCCGCGATCGAGAAGCGGCAGGTGATCAAGCAGGAGGCCAAGAAGAGGAAGCTCGCCACAGGTGAACCTGCAGCGCCAGGCCCGAGGCCCCCAGAGGCAGCGCCCCCAGCGGCTGCGGCGGCGGCACCAGATGCCACAGGCCCCGCCCAGGGCGCCGCCGAGGAGGCTTTCCTGGCCAGCAGGCGTGCGGCGGCGGCGCAGAGTGCGACGGGGGCCACAAGCCCCGCGACGCACTAGGGGCGCGCGCGAGGGCGGCGGCGGCATCACGTTGGCGACGCCGCAGCCCACGAGCGCACCCTCTTCTGCGCCAACATCTCGACCTGGGGACCCACAGCACGGCTGTGGCTGCTGCAGCAGGGCATCGGAGGCAACGGCTTCGACATGCTGGCGCTGCAAGAGATGCACGTACTGCACTCTCAGTTAGACGACGCGGAGCAGGACCTTTGCAAAATGGGGTTCAGGGCTACCTGCACCGCGGCGAGAGCTAGTACGCGATCGGAGAAAGGCAGCTGTGGGGGCACGGCAGTCATCTCCAAGGGGCACTTGCGCGTCACCAGCTTCAGACACTTGGCCAGAGCTCGGCAGGTCTCGAATGCCACGGCTGACATCCGACGAGGCGCCGACCGAGCAGGAGGCTTCGACATGTGCGACTGGACACCAGTCACCTGGCACCTGAAGGGCACTACGCTCACCGTCGTCAGCCTCTACCTGGACTGCAACAGGTCGCTGACCGACGGCATCAACAGCCGCAAGCTCACCGCGCTGGCCGCGTTCCTCAAGACGCTGCAAGGGGCGTGGGTGGTGTGCGGCGACTTCAACACAGACCCGAAGACGTTCTGGGCGACGGGCTGGCCAAAGGCGATGGGCGCGAGCGCCATCATCTCATTG